CCATACAAATCTCTATAAATTTGGGTAAAAAATTTCTCCGCATATCTCGCATAAGAGAAATTGCTGTGACCAGAATTTTGGCGAGAGTCTGTATATTTACCTTCTTTCATTTCCCAGATTCTGGACTTTATCTATTGACCGGGTTTGATTTTTATTTTGATCTATCTTGAATTGCGTGACACTGAAAACCAGCAATTGAGGATGCGAAAACTTGGGCGCGGCGCGAGAGATCTCGCCGATCAAACTCGGTCCAGGCCACTGTCACTGAACACACTTAATGAGTTGTCTCAGAGCGAGGCTCCGTCACAGGTATTCCGTTGTAACGCACCTTGGGTCAATAACCAACCTCAAAGCGAGATTATAGTTTAGCCATTTGACTGAATCTGACCGAACTGTGAGGAGAAAAAGGTGAGAATGACATTTAAGGAGCAGGGCTTACCAGCTAAGTTAAAAACCTTTGTAAACGCTCACGCGATGTTTTAATCTAAATTTAACACGAAATTCGAATTGGTAATTAAGAATTCATTTAAAAAGATTCATCGAGCAGTTATGGCAAAACAACGAGTAGTTAATGGACTGCCAATAAGCCAATGAGATTGTTGAAAAGGTTTTGGTTGGTAAAACAAACTTAACTGATTACTAGCTATACGTGATTGTCGAAAAAACGGTAATATTTACAAGTGTTTCTTTGAAGCACTTAGCAAAGTTTCGTGCTAAAACTTGCAATCGCACGGTTGTTGATTTTACGGTATGTCCTTTCCCTCTCGTGGTTATGGCTCATTTCCTTTACGTCATAGTAGAAATAATAATTGCATAATAATAGACACGGTTTCTTTAACGCAAATTTCACGACCAAGTCACGTAACATATGGGCTATTCTTTTTTAAGGGGTAGGTATTTCCCTAGTATTTACTTCAAGTCATATCATTGGCAAACAAGCCGACACTACATGAACTTTTTTGTTCACAATTTACCAAGGCTTAGATTTACTGACAATTTGCAAACAGTCTTCATGCAGTTAATACTGTATAAAACTCGAAGTAAACTTGTAAGAACAAGCACGACAAATATTTGGGGTGCAAACCTACTAATTTATGGTCCATTCAAAAGAGCAGCTCAGGCTTAATCGATTTAATGGACGCTTAAAGCGTATGCTCAGTTTGTTACACCTTGCAAAGCTGAGAACGGTCAAAGATATGGGTCAAATATCGATGAAGTCGACGAAATATTCCAACCGGTCGACGTTGCAGTCTAATAGTGTGTCGAGTGTCTTTGTCGATATGCAACTTACAAAATGTCCATGTTGCCTTGAGTCATGAATGGTTAGCGTTGAGAACATAATCGCGGAGCAAAATCACCTGGGAAAAAAGCAAACGTGTCAGGGCAGATATGGGGGCAAATATCGGCTTATAACGACGCCCTCTTTGTCTGAATATTTGATTACCGGCGAACCTATATGGCGTGAAGCAAATTGAGCGTGACAGTTCCAAAACGTTGTTGTTGAAAACAGGAAGACGTAATTAAGGCCGCTTTATGGTGCTTTTGATAGCCTTTGGTACAACCGCCCTCCCCGAAAGAATAAACCACGGGACAGATCGGAGAGAGCTTGCTCTCCGATTCAGTTTTTCTTTCGGGGACGACGGCTGCAACACAGGCCACAACCGATAGTCAGTCTTGAATGCTATTTTGTTCCATCGCTTACTGTCATCATCCGTACCCGCTGATTACAATTGTTGTAAATACAGAATCAACGCTCCATCCTCTCAGGTTTTTCTTAAATATTTTCTACAGTAAAACATGATTTAAAGCTGCGATAGAAGAAATAAAGCTACGCGAAAACGGTTTAGTTCACCGATTGACCATTGAGGTCAAAATACTCGAACCCACCGTGAAAAGTGTTTCCTATACGTACGCTGGAGTGACCATAGCTCCTGAAACAATTTAAATTAAGAACATTTATAGAGATTATGACGCTTTGTATGTTAGTGAAAGTAGTTAGAAAGCAATATGGACGTAGAGTCGGCTTGTTCCAAGGCTCTGTGGTGTATTAGGTTTAAAATGTTGTTGTTTGTTGTTTCAAATGTTGTTTGTAGTAGTTCACAGGCATGCCACTAAACTCAAAGACTTAAACAAGAATATCAACCGGCTAATTATAACAGACTGAAAAATCTGAACTGGCGGGAGGCAGACGAGTTTGCTATTTACAAACATGAGAGAGGAGTTGAACTAGGGTCTGCGGGGAAACAACTCCAGCTTAGTGGTCTGAGCGGAGCTTGAACCCGCGACCTCCGGATTTCAAGCCGGCGCCCTTACCAGCCTCCAACAAAACTAAAAGAAGTGAATTGTGTGTTGTTGCTAATTTAATTTTGTTTTATCAGATGGGCTTCCTACGGTCACGTCTCAGTTTTAAAACTGAAATAAAGACGCTTGTGGTTGTCCTTATGTCTAATGAACGTGGCTTGACAATTAGCTTAAATTATCAGTTTTCAATGCAAACAGACATCATAAAGAATATGGGACCATGAAATTTCATATAATACTTCCCAGTGATTATTTATGGAGACTTGAATTTTGTTCAGATGTTGCGGGCGATTGCATTTCTAAAAGTTCAATTTTAATAGTTTTTCAAGTAAAATAAATAAACATACTTTATCGGCCAGCCTTGCAGTAAGTGTGATATTACTTTAGTCACTTGCAATAGGAGTACAGATTTTGAACTATTTCAAACGAGCAGTAATGATTTAGCGTATACTAGGAGACTCCAAAGAGTAAGATGAAGCTAGAAATTATATATTATGATGGTGATTGGTGTAACTCAGTTTAGTTTCATCGTCATATCACAGCTGTGCAATGGCAGATGATCATCATCAAACGACTGCGTCAATTAAAGATGTTCAGGTCACTGGTGAGTAAATGAAATATCAAAACGAACTTTAAAGTAAGGGTGGCAGGATTGAAGGTCAGCAATGTAAAAGAAAAAAAAAACTCAATGAATAAATAACAAACGAGCACACGAATGCATGAACGATCGACCGACCGACCGAACGAACGACCGAATGAATGAATGAAGAAATGATACGTTGACGTTTCGGGACGACTAATAACTTAAAGCAAAACTGTAAAATATTTTAAATTACCTGATACTTTTACACCATCGATCGACTGATTTGGCTGGTTTCACTTGATTCTGAAAATGACTAACTAACTTTCAATAACTTTCAATAACTTCTACCCAAGTTATTGAAATTTCAACCTCTCGCAAGAGTCCTTTTCAGAAATACCCGTAATTACCTGGAAAAACACATCAGATGAACTACAATTTCATTTTGCTTTATCTGCTGAAGATTGACTGAATAACAGGAATGAACGATTTAATTTATCGATTTATTTTCAGTTGATGACGATCTGGAAATGCATAGCGTCACCAAGCCTCCTCTGACTAATGACGGTAAGCATTTTGGTAAAAATGGAAACACATATTTAGTATCTTAACATTAAACGTTTCGCTTTGTGAATCAGAATTTGTAGCACAATTGCTACTAATCTCGTAATCTTATTGGCTAATTTGTCGTTGTCGATAAGAGTCCAGACAATGATGAAAGCGTCAATGTGTCACGCAATGCCTTTTTCAGCCCGCGCTCTGGAAAAAACAGTTTCTTTGACGTTGACATTGTGATAAAAAACAAATCGAAATGTGGTTTAGCGTTGTCTGTACTCTTATCGACAACGATACGCGTCATCACAATGGTCAAAATGTGGCGCAGCCGAGTGAGTCCACAACTTTTAAGTTAACACAGTAACGTTACATGAATTTACTTAACTTAACTTGCCTATAAAAAAGATGCTGCTAAGAAGGAAGCGAAGAAAATCGAACTTTTCTTATTTTGCAATCTTTCTTTTTTACATTAGACACTTCTCATGAAAAGCTACACGAGAGAGGTAAAGATGGGTGAGTATTAGAGTATAGCTGGAAAATTTTGAAGAATTTAGCAAAACATTAAGAGTCCCTGTCCATAAAAATGGAAAATAACTCGGCAAGGGTCGAAATTTCGATTTTGCTCATATTCCTATGGTAGATAGGCTAGGGCATGACAAAAACTACTGGATAGTTTTTTTGGCAAAATATCCTTTTATTTCAAAGAAATATGCAAATT